GTCACTATGAGTTTTTAGGTGAATAAGAAATTGAATTAATCCTTTACATACTTGTTTGCATAACGTAATGCCACATGTAAACAATATTTCACTGTCTTGAAATTTTGACCAAGCAAGTGTACTAACTGTTTGATTATTATGAGCAGTTTTTACATGTATTTTGAAAGAAGAGTAGCTTTTAAAATTTCTGTTGCAATTGTTGACACAAGGAAAATATATGTTTGCATCATGACGGTGGCATGAATAATGAGTAACATAAGCTAATAAAGATTTTGCTTGTAGACCACATATATGACACTTTAACTTTAAATTTTTATAACAACTTTCACGTGGAGTTAATTGTGCATAATTGACTTTAGAATAAACAGATAAACTATTTTTTGTACTAAATCCATTTATACTATCAATGTCAATAACTTCAATGTTTAAAGATAATAATTCAAATCGAACTTCATTAGAATCTGTTAAATATCTACTGTACTGTTTTAAAAAAATGTACAAATCTGAAACAAACACAAATTTTATGACCACAGCAGTTCCTTCACTGGTCAAAAAACCATGACAGTCTCTACTATGTGAATCAAAAAGAAGAAGAAAATTATCAAATTTGAATATTGCAACAAAACTATCTTTTATACATAAAAGACATGTTGGAGACAGCTTAAATGCATCATCAAAAGCATGTTCAATTGATTTGGTACTGAATAAATTGACATCATTTTCTAATTGCAATAAATTACCAATTCCTATGTCAGTAATCTTGAGCATATTTTTTTTCCCAGAACAAATTACATGAGTTGGCAAATCATTTGGCAATAAATAATCTGTATTTATACCATTATCTCGAACATTTAGGTAAAGACTGTCTCCTTGCTTCAAAATATTATTTAGATCAATACTTTGTAATCCATAATTCGTTTTTATTTTATTCATTGTATAACACAGAAATATAACTGAATTTGTTAAACATTGTTTTCCTCGTGAAAAATCTGAAAAACTAACATCACCTTGATGTAGAGCTGCAGAAATACAAGTATTTTTTGTTAATTCTGTCCATATTGGTCCAGTAAAAACAGAAGGTAATGACATTTTATGATTAATACAACTTTACAGAAATTTAATACAATTAAATATTACCAATATTATGTATTCAATATTACCTTGTGCACCAACACAAGTTAAAATAGTTAATTGCACAAAAGCTCTTATATCAAAATTGGAATGCTTTTACTTATACTAATAACTTATTAAATAAGTTTATTATTAAATAAGTTAATAACTTAGTTATAAAACACAAAATATTAAATATTAGCGAATTAAAAATTAGTCTAGAGTAATAATATTGAAATGCAATTATAATTTAATTACAGAGCTATTTTGTCATGTGATTCACATGCTGACATATTAAAATATGTAAAAAGTATGTATAGAAAATTAAAGATAACAAATTTCAATTTTAATAAAATAATAAACATGCTTTTACTATACGATAAGTGTCCACATTTATCGTATTCTTGCGGCGAACGTGACGTCACTTTAACTAACTAAACGGCTACCATTATGGTATGGGGGCAAACAAAGCGCTTGAAAATGGAGAAATGTGTTTTTGACTGTTCCCTTAATGTTAATAGTCATCCGAACTTGATTTTTTATATTTTGTTTCCTGATCCAAAGAGAAGAAAATCGTGGCTTTATGCTTTATATAGAACTGATTCATCTTGCTAAAACAAACTTAGGTCGCAAAACATGTCTAAGTATGCTCAAAACATTTTGTATCTGGTAAGTTTTGTATTTGAATCGTCAAAATATTTGAGCACTAATTTTTCTTGAACTTATTAAGTTTTTTATTCATTGTAAGTATGTTTCTCTTTTAGGAAAAAAAAGAACATAGTCCAGATGCTTTTCAAAATTTTGAAAAGCATGTTGACTATGTTCCATCAGTAAATATGTTAGGTGCTAAAAATATATATATATATATAGTGAAATCATCCCTCCAACATAACCAATTGTTATGTGAAATGAAAGGAGAATAAATAGATTAAACAATTCAATTAGTATATACTATATAGTATTATATGTACTGTATAAACAACAAGATAAACTATATAATATAGTTTATCTTGTTGTTTAAAATGTTTTTGTAAAAACTGTTTATGTAATAGTTACAATTTATTTTTGTTATGCATTGACGCATAACAAAAATAAATTGTATATATAAATATTAATGCATTAAAACTAAGCATTTATAAATCAATTGTTTATTGTTTTTATTTTTTAAATAAATTAATGTTCAATAGCTTGTTAAGCACAAATTTTGTATTTACTATATACCTCAAACATGCTTATACTTTTTTAGAATATTATGTACAAAAAAGTCATTGCAATAAATCTCAAGTTATTAAAGTCAGTTAACAAATAAGTACTGACAATTCATTGACTGGAGTGGAAGATGTTAGTGTCTTGAACCAACATGAAACAACAAGTTAACTTAGCTGAGAATGATGGTAGTTTAAAAATAATGCAGCATTGGCTAGGTAAGTGATTATGTGTATGTTGGCTCACTCATAAGTCAATATATATGTGTTTATGTTCTGTGTTGACCTCTGGTGTCGTGTTGGCTCACCCTTTAGACATTATATGTGTGTTTGTATTCTGTTTCAACCTCTAGTGCGGTGTTGATTCACTTGTAAGTCATTATGTGTATAATTTTATTTTGTTTTATTGTGTTATTATAGTGATGTTATTGTTGTGAGGCTTTGTGTTGATAGACAACTTTGCTTACTTTCTTGTTGGTGTCTCTTGCTACAAATGATTATTAGATTATTAGAAATGATTATTTTTACTTGAACTCGTTACTTCTAATCATTTACTAGGCAATCATTTACTAGGCAAGAAACATGTTTTAAAGTAAAACATACTTTTAATGTTGTCATTTTTAATCTTTAGGATTGTTCCTAGGTCACAAAAACAATCTTACAAAGTAAGTTTCTTCTTTATTATTTATTTAGTTATATTTTTAATTAAATTTTTATTTTTCATGTTAACATGATACATAAAACATTAATTTGTAAATGCTTTCAGCATAAATTGGTTCTATTTTCTTTAGTAGAGTTTCTGCTGTTTTCACTGGTTTTAGAGTGTACCTTTGTGAATGAAGATAAAAAGTCATTTATGTTATTTTTTCAAAGCCAAGACATAATATTGTTAATCCTCATACCATTTACCAAAAAGCTTTATAAATATTGTTACGATGTTATAATTCAAATTGTTGTAATTAGTACTTTTGATCATTTCATTATTATACTTTAAAAAATATTTTTTATTTATAACATTTATTTCACATATATTAAAAACATGAGGAATAAATATTACACTGAGGAAAATTTTAAGCAAAATATAGAATTTTTAAATGTTATTAGAATATCAATATGTAATATTTTTGTTTTGTTTATTGACTACATCTGTAAACTGTGCAATAATTTCAAAATGATGAATTAATTAAATTCCATGTTTCCTATAAGCATTTGCACAGATTTATTTCAATATAATACTAAATATTGTTCTGGTAACGTTCAGCAGCTTTTTTAGATAACTTCTCTTGATAATCATAAGACATTTTCAAGGCGTTTAAGTAATGATGTACTGAAATCAGCGCGTTTGTTTGCCCCCATATCATAATGGTAGATATTTTTGTTTTTAATTACGCAATGATCACGTGGTTTTTTCGCCGCAAGAATAGTAGAACTTTACGGTGATACCGTGATGGTGCAATAACGGTGTAATGTCGTAAACTTTACAGTATAATGCCGTGAAGACACTATTGGGGTAACATACCGTAAAATGTCGGTAAAGTACCGTGAATTTCACGGTAAAGTTTTACAGTGTATTTAAAAAAAAAAATTAATTGTGGCGAACTCTAAAAATTCCCAGATAGCGAACGTATATTTCTTGCTAATGGTCGCCATTTGGCTGTTTCGGAGGCTATTGCTCCCGTATTTATTATTGGTGGTCATTTATTCTATGATACATCGTAAAGATCAACTCTCGATCTCGATCACACCCTATAGACTAAAAGATTTATAATTTATGAAAATAAGAGAAATGAATATTTATATCGGACTAAGTTCAAAAAAGTGGTGACCACTGGGTGTTTTACCCTATAGAGAGAAAATGGCTGCGAAAACACATTGAAAAAAAAAGCCACGTGAGAAAAACTGAAAAATTCTAAAGAGTGGGAAAGAAATTAAACTTATCTTCCAAAGTTATTTTAAGTGAAAAAATGTTGTTTTGAGAAATTTTTGATTTATTGAAACCGCAACCCACATTTCGTTAAAATGGGTTATTATCTAAGCGATAATAAGTTTATTATATTGAAACTTCAAGAAAAACAACTTTGATGTCAAACTAAGTGAAAATAAATTTTATTGTTAGAGTCTGTTTTTAAGAAAATTTTTACGGTGTTATTGTTTTGGCTTTTTTCAATATAATTGCAAAACTAAGTCTTCATCTACTCATTTTGTACAAGTAACTTGATTGAAAATTACACTAAAAGTTTTTCGTTGGTCACACGAATAAAAAAAAGTATAATAAATTGAAATACGGCAATCTATTAACTGCGTAAATAACTATACAAAACACAATACAAAAATTTTTTGAATTTGATAATTGGTTTCCTTGGTGATTTTCGCTTTTTTGGTTGATCTTTACTTTCAAATTAATGCAAGTATATAAAAAGTCCTTAGTGAAATAAGAAACTTTGTTAATTGATTTTTGACGAAGCTTTTAGTTTTTTATACTTATGTTTTGTTTTTTAAATTCTTATAAACGCTGTTTTTGTTTACTTAATTTTGCATTTATACGTATTGCCTCCGTTTTCTATGACTGAAAAGATAACTAACTTATCATGAGAAAGTAGTTACCAACATTTTTTTTTTCTTTTAAAAATATTTTTGCATAACTACTATATAAAACCATTTTAGAAATTGAAAGCAAAATTTAAAATGGATAATGAAATTGAAAAAGACAAATTCAAATCAACAGTAAATGATTTAGAAAATAATTATGACGATCATCTAAATGAAATGCTTCCAAAACTCCACCGAGGTGACATTGCATCATCCAATCGTACGCTTGGGTTAATAGACTCTGTAATGGCTACTTCTGCGACGTTTCTTATTATACCTATAAGAAATTTGAAAAAATTGAAAGATGGTGAAGATTTAAGTGATTTTTTTTTTGAAAATCGATTGGAATTTGTAATGTTTTTCTTGGGCTTTGCAGTGGTATTGACAATATGGGAAAATATTAATATTCGAGCCATGGTAATCAAACGTGTAGATGATCTTTTTTTGTTTTTCATTTGCTTGGAGATGTTAGCCACCACTGTTCTGCCGTTTTCAATAGCTCTGCAAGGTCATTATCCTAGCGAAGTTTCCTCCATTTTACTTACCTGCTTTATTATAGGATTTATGAATGTGAACGACATTATTTTAAGTATCTACGCAATGAAAACACCCAGAGTTTTGCACGTCATGATGCAAAAGTGGACCAAACCTCATTTGAACAGATTTCAAAACTGTTTTATAGTAAAACCTGTTATCAGTTTGATGTTAGTATCTCTTAGTGCTAGTTTTTGCGTTCTAAACTATGCGGTGTCTTGGTTTATTCTTTCCTTACTTATTATGATGCCAGTAATCAATAAATGTTACTATTTTATTCGGAGAAGAATAATGAAACCAACTGATTTAGAATGCTGTCGTTTTTATTACTGTTTTACAAAAGGTAACATTTCAAAAGAGCGTATCGAAACAATGAGTGACGCGGCAGTAGCAATAATTGCATGTATTTTGATCTTAGATATAACGGTTGAAGATTTCCCCTTTAAAGAAAAAGTTTATCAGTTCGGACTAAACTATGAGTTAAATAAAATGCACCGTAAATTTTTGACATTTTTGGCCACATTTTCAATGGTTTTATCACTTTGGTTTGTCAATCATACTATTTTTCATTTATACAAATCGGTTAATGCAATAATTTTTTACTTGCAAAAAACACTTTTAGCGTTTGCATGTCTCTGTCCTTTAGCTGGCAATTTAGTTTTGAAGCTATCTACGGCAGGCAATAAGAACTCCAATCACGCTATACGAATTTCTGCTCTAATAATTTTTTTTTCAAGTTCAGCGAACTTATTAATCTTGTTATACGGCTTGTTTTTTGGAAAGAGATATTTGCATCCTTGGGCAGTATTTGGATGCTTTAAAGTTAACGCGCGGCAGCATTTGTACACTATACTTAAAGCATTTAATTTACCATTTTGGTCTTTAGTATGCGTTCTGGGAACTCTCGGGTCACCAAATATAGCCCTTTATTCTATGTACGCGTGTTATATTGGCTCCGTTGTTACAACTTTTTCATCAAAGTTGCTTTTTATGAATAACTTTGGTAAAAAATCGTATGCTCACGAGCTTCAAAATTTGGATACTGGTTGCACGGAACCAACCAAAATTGACCAGAGAGACTAACTAATTACACAAAAACCATAAAGTACTTAATTAACCATAAAAATGTTTTAATTAAATTTTTTCATTATTATACTAAAATTTTATCTTATTTTTCATTTTATGCAATAAAATTTTACGTAATAATTTTTTTTTTTTTTTTTTTAAGTGTAATTTATTTCGCCGTTAAAGAATGTTTACATTGCATATACATATATCAAAACTAATGGCAGGAGCAAGAAGAAGGCACATTTTGCCTTATCGCCGAGCCCCACATATATATATAAAAAAAAAAAAAAAACTCTTTATAAAAAAAACTCTACATAACCGTAACATACAAATGTATATAATATAAATATATAAAATATAGGTAAGAATTAAAACAGAAAGTAACTGAGAAAATTAAGAAATTCAAAATAGCAAACAACTAAGAATTGTCGAAATGCTAGCAACCGCTTAAATGTTTTAAAATCATTTAAACAAAAAGTTTTAAATAAGAATAAAATTTCATAATTAACATTATCACAAGATGAATTTTTAACATCATTACTTAAATTTGATTGATATAAATAAATTTGTTTTTATTTGATTAAATTTTAAAAGAAACATTTGAAGTCAGATAAATTAAGATCCCTGAATACTAATAATTGTTTTGATTCATTTTTAAATTGTTCTAATGTAGTCTTGTTTTTGTTGACAATCTCTGGGAATTTATTCCACAGATAAGGTCCGCGATATTTAATTGAATAGAAGGTTAATTTTAAATTATACTTGAGAAGAACAAAGTTGTTATCAGAAAACTTTGTTGAATATTTATGATTAATTTTATTAAAATAGGTTTGAAAAATTATTGGGGACAATCCCATTTTTGTTTTAAACATAAACAATAAAACTTGGTGTAAATTGAGTTTATACACATTTAAAGCACCGATTGCACGTAAAAGTGGTTCGCAAGGAGTATTTCTGCAGGCTCCAAACACTATTCTGCATGCATGTTATTGTTTGTTGTAGATTTTCTTAAGTTTTGTATAGCCAGTACTAGCCCACACAATATTACAGTAAGACAAATAGCTGTGAATAAAGGCAAAATACAATTTTTTCAGGGATGCTACATTTAGAAAAGGTTTAGCCTTATAAATCATTGCGATATTTTTTGAGAGTGTTGTTTCAATACTATTTATATGAGAATACCACAGTAAATTTTCATCCAGTTTTACTCCTAAAAAGTTTACGTTTGTTTCCCTTTTAATATAAGTATTATTAATTATAAGATTTGGTAATTTTATAGGTATGTTTTCTGATTTATTTACTTTATGGAAGAGTATATATTTTGTTTTATCCACATTTAATGAAAGTTTGTTACTTACGAACCATTCATTAACTTTACATAACTGTTCATTAACTGTTTTAAAAAGTGTTTTAATGTCTCTGTGAGAATAAAAAAGATTGGAATCATCAGCAAACAAAATTAGGTCTAAAAGATTTGTTGCTAGGTATAAGTCATTTATGTACAATAGAAATAAGAGTGGTCCTAAAATTGAGCCCTGAGGAACCCCGCAAGTTATGGAATATGGAATTGTGTTATTTTGATCATAATATAAAAATTGCCTCCGGTTTGTTAGATACCCTTTACGGTATCTAACAAACGGTGATTTACGGTGATTTACGGTATCAAAAGCTTTTGACAGATCAATGAAAACTCCTAAAGTAAAACAGTCATTATTAAAGGCTTCAGATATTTGATTAGAAAGTTCAACTATTGCATGTTCTGTGGAATTTTTTTTTTTAAAACCAAATTGCTTGCAATACAACATGTCGTTCTCAGTTAGATAATTATATAACCTATTATACATTATTCTCTCTAGCAATTTTGAAAAGCAAGGTAGTATGGATATAGGCCTGTAGTTTAAGATATTTGACTTATCTCCAGATTTAAAAATTGGTGTTATACGGGCAACTTTTAGTTTGTCAGGAACAATACCTGTTTTAAATGAAAGATCAAAAACATGAAATAAAGAAGGTTCAATAATATCAAATACTGATTTGACAATATCAATACTAATTTTATCAAAACCTTCACTTTTTTTACTTTTGAGACTGCTAAATGCAGCACTCAGCTCGCTAAGTTTTAAACTAGTTTCATCCATAAGTTTGTCATAAGTTTTTAAGTATGAATCATAAGGAGTGGAGTTAGATGGAATTTTAGCAGCCAATTTCGGACCAATATTGACAAAGTAGTTGTTTAGTTCATCAGCTATAATAGATTTATCATAAACTAATTTTCCATTAATTAAAAGATTTTTTGGCAGAGTGTTTTTTTTGTAATTATTTTTTCCAATTAAATCCTTAATTACATTCCATACTTTTTTAGTGTTTCCGTTGTGTTTTTTTAATAACTGAGCATAATAAAGCTTTTTTGAGTATCTTTTTATTTTTTCGAATATATTTTTGTAATTTTTATAAGTTATTTCATTTTTATAAGATTTTTTTTTAAGATACTTTATATATAATTTTTCTTTCTTTTTTGAAGATTTTAGTAAGCCTATTGACATCCAGGGATTTTGAAGTGATTTGGTATTTATGATTATTTCTTTTTCTGGAAACGCTATTTCATATTGCTTGCAAAATTGACCAAGAAACAAGTTATAAGCATTGTTAGCATCACTTGATTGCAAAATTAAATTCCAATCAACATTATTTTTTAAACAGCATTTAAAATGCTTTAAGGAGTTTTCATTAATCTGTCGCCGAAATATTGTGGATTTTGTGGCAATATTGTTAATTAAAATGTTATTGGTTGCTAAGAATGTTGGAAAATGATCCGATAAATCAGTCTGAATTATACCTGTGAAAAGAGGACTATTATAAAAACTGTTAGTTATAATGTTATCAAGTAGAGTAGAAGACTTTTTTGTAACTCTTGTTGGTTTGTTTATTGTTGGAATAAAGTTATTTTCTAAAAGAGTATTTATAAAATTCTTAGCATTATTATTAAAAGCATAGTTGATTAGGTTGATGTTAAAATCCCCGACCAAATATATATGTTTTCTGGAATTTTTAGTTTTGTTTAGAAATGTTTTAAGATGAGTTTTAAATTTTTTCATGTTGCCAGATGGTGGTCTATAAATATTTTTTATAATTATGTTTTTTTCAGTTTTATTTACTATTTCAATGCATAATGATTCACAATCTGTTTCATTAACACAGAGGTCGTTACGTAAAATATAATTAAGTGAATCATGGATAAAAATACTAACGCCCCCACCTGCATTAAATTTACGTGGTTGGTGAATTGATGCGTAATTAACTACACCTTTTCAAGATGTAAATGAGAACATGAAAGTTGTAATTAAGAAGTCGTAATATGTAATTAAGAAACACAACATGTAATTGAGAAAACGTTATATGTAATTGAGAAACACAACATGTAAATAAGAAGTCGTAACATGTAATTAAGAAACACAACATGTAATTGAGAAAACGTAAGATATAATTGAGAAGTCATAATATGTAATTGAGAAATCGTAACTTGTAATTGAGAACACATAAATTAAAATAGCAAATTCACAGTCTAATTTTGTAGGTTGTTACAAAAGGTCTTTTTGGACATGAATTTAAGTTATAATCTTAAATTTTGCTTTTGTATGCACAAGTAATAATAATGGAATTAAAAGATCGTTGTGTTATATCCCAATACACTATGACCCGAAAGTCTGTGATTAAGCTAAATCCGTGTCAACATTTATGTCATCAAATTTGTTTACGTCCAGTTCTGGAACAACCAGATTCAAGTTGTCCGATTTGTCGGCATGAAATACACACAACTGAACAAGTTGAAAGGAAACGTTACGTTTTATCTTCTCCAAATGACAGGAGAAGAGTTGTTGAATGTGCGGAGCGATTTGAAGATTGGGTGAATCTCGCGCAAACGCTAGGTATCAAATATAAGACAGCATACAATTGGGTTTGCAGCGGAAATTCAAATTTCATCGGAAAAGGAGGTTTTAAACCGAAAAAGTTGACCGAAGATCAAATCGAAGAAACATTAACATGAATTGAAAATGATTGTCAATTAACATTGGTGGCCATCAAAACAAAGATATTAAGACAATTTAACATAAACGTTAGCACAACAACAATAGCAAATTACCTCGAAGGCAGATTGTTCTCATTAAAAAAAGTGCACAAGAAGCCTTCTACAATAAACAGTTATGAAAACAAACAAAAAAGAGCTGAATATGTTAGAAACATCAACGAACATATCACAAATGGTCGTCAGATAGTTTGGTTGGATGAAACAAATTTTAACCTTTTTTGTAGAAAAACGCAAGGACGCGCGAGACAAGGAAAAAGAGCAATTATGAAAGTACCTGCTTCAAAAGGTTTAAACATACACTTGATCGCAGCTATTTCAACTACAAATGTCGTCATGATAGAAACTTGCAGGGGATCATTTAAAGCAGATTCCTGTAACGAGTGGATGTTGGCTATGTTTCACCAGTGGGTTACATCCGGGAATCGTTTGGAGGATTTGGTCGTCGTAACAGATAATGCTCCTTGTCACGCTCGTTTGCAAAGGGTGTTTGATAATTCACCAGCTCAGTTGTTACGTTTGGGACCTTACAGTCCAATGTTGAACCCGGTGGAAACGATCTGATCCAAAATTAAAAGTAACGTTAAAAATGCAATTCGCATTCCACCTGTATTAGGTGACGGGATTGCGGAACAGCGCATGCAGTACTTAGAACGAATTGTAATTGAGGCGAAAAATACTATAATGGGAAGAGATTGTGCACGTGCGGTACAACACACAACCACGCACTATGCAACTATTTTAAATATGGAAGACGTACAAGTTGGTGCTTAAATGATCAATGAAGTGATTTTTAATTATATAATTTTTAATTATAATTTTTATTTGAATTATAAATTTTTCCCTAAAATGTTTTTAGTGTTTATTATGTTAAATTCATTTGCCCAAAAATTATAAATTTTTCCCTAAATTTTTCCCTAAAAAATTAAAT